CGGGTTCTCTGAGGCCCTTTTGGAGTCATGCCGTGTCACAAAAGGCACTCCAATTACCCGCGGGGCGCCCCATCTAGGTCCAGGGGGAGCGGTCAAGACATTTCTCCTGGACGCAAACTGTTTGGCGCAGTCCGGTCCGCCCAGCCAACGCATAAGAAGTGGAGACCGAGTTTTACCATAGTCAGCGGCAGTCTTTGGCTGAACAGTTACGCCAGGGGTGTGACATTTGTGCGAGGTGCGCCACGCGTGCCAGGGGCGTCACGCGCCGTAGGCGCGCCAGGCGCCCCTGGGGCCCAAGCGCGCCAAGCACGCTTGTTGCGCCAGATGCGCCACGTGCTCCATGTTCGCCAAGCGTGCCGCATGCTCCAGCCGCGCCAGTTGCGCCACGTTCGGGGCACGCGCAAAGTGTGCCAGGTGCGCCCGCGCACATAAGAGAACAAGCCGCCTCCCGCCATCCTTGTCGAACATCAGCGCGCAATCGCGGCGGAGTGGCCATCATGATGTCTGGTGGGCCAGCACATCGCAGGCAATATGCCAGCACCCCCGCCGCCAATGTCAAAAACTGGTGCAACGTGATCGCGGGATGCCCGCTCACTCTCCAGAAATAGCCGCGAACTGCAGTCGGTCTTGTTTATCCCATCTGTCCTGTGGTATTGGGTCTTGATTTTGAAGAGAGTGCCCCGCGTCCTCCTCTCCTCCCCTCCTCCTCCCCAAGCCTCCCCCCTCCTGCCGCATCGCCGATGCCCTCCGCATGTTCTTGCTTCGACACACCCATCACGCGTCTCGTGGCCCATTGGGAGCTCCACCGAAGGCCCCAGCGGTAGCGCCCGCATGGCACCACCGCGCCCAATTTGGCACACCTCTCACACGATTCGTGGCCCCATGGGGAGTTCCACCGAATGTCCCAGTGGCAGCGCCCTCATGGCACCACCGACCGCACCCGTTTCGGTAACCCTTCACACGTGTCGTGGCCCCACAGGGAGCTCCACCGAAGGCCCCAGTGGCAGCGCAGGTAGGCCGGCGCCCTTTGGGGGGCGTGTGAGGCTTCCTTGGAGTGATCTTGGGAGGGCTTGGGAGTGCTTCGCGTGGTTTTACGTAGGCACCCTGGATATCGAAAACCAGATGTAGAAACCACAAAGAAAATCAATGGTACTTGCCTCTTGGAATCTCTTGGGATCAATCTGTTGGGTCCTTCTAGGGCTTATTAAGGGCGTCGTGGGCTGTGTTGGGAGCCTCTTGGGCCGTCTTGGGGTGCTCTTGGGTGTTCTGGGAACTTTCTTAGGCAGTCTTGGAACCATTTGGCTGAATTTTAATTCGTCTGGGAACACTTCTAGAGCGGACGAGTTCGCCCAGCCGATCAGAGGGTATTCCCCCGTTCAATCAATCCAGTCGGGCCCAGCTGCTGCGGGAGATGTTTGGAGAGGGGCGAATAGTTCACTCGCGGAAAGAGCCCCAAGGGGTCGGCGGGTCACTGGGATATTCGTCGAGATCGCCAACCATTGGGCACAAAACGACACCCACGCCCAGATCCAGGCGGACTCAGAGCAGAAAGCTTTCTTCATCAGGGCTCTGCACGACTTGTTCAGTGAACTAGATACGAGTGGCCAGGGCACTCTAACACTTGAGGGTATGCAAGAAGCCATCGCAAATGGCGATGCGCGTTTAGTAAGTTCATTCCACGCGTTGGACCTGGAGATTATGGACGTGCGCACGCTGTTCTTGCTGTTGGACCGCGACAGGAAGGGCTATGTCAGCACAGAGGAGTTTTTGCTGGGATGCTTCCGTTTGAAAGGGGAAGCAAGAACATTGGACATTATGAAATTGCAGTACCAATGCGAGTGGCTCATGCACAACGTGTTGAGCATCTATGATAACGTCGAAGGCATTCGTGACAATATGTATCAAGTGTTAACTGCCTTAGACGCAGAGCTTGTCGAGAAGAAGGGCCCAGGCCCGAACACTGCAACCGCGGTTACCGGCCACTCCCCGTGTCTCTACAGAAGCCTCTCTGCTCAGGTCACGAGCCAGCATTGGGAGGACGTGCTCAGGCAAGGCCGTCCCCGCGGCACCTTCGCTAGCATCAGCAGTGACGAGTACGACAGTCCTCGCAGCCCGCCCGTATTAGTAGCTTCAGCAGCTCGTGCATGAGTGTGTACGTTGTTGTGAGTATGTCAGCCACTTGACCGCACAGTGGGGCGGCGGATTGTTGGCATGTTCTGTACTAGGCTTGACGCCTTCCAGTTGCCGTATCGCTGATATGCTTTATCCAGGGTCTGCAACTTGTGGCTGCTACAAATCCCAGAGTGTGCCAAATGCAGCACGCAATTTGGGACGCGCACTCGCTGTCGTACTTGCGCACGCGTGTTGCCGCTGATGCGCGCTGATCATGCAGTCGCTCTCCTGGTCATTGCCAGACTTTGGTGCCTGATAGTTTGCGCATGCAGCGCGATCAGCGTCTATGAGAGCGCATCGCGCCCAGCCCGAATCATTCTATGGAGCAGATTCATTACGCTCGTTGGGTGCAAAGGGGCGGCGTGCAACACAGCGCCAGCGTGCACCACAGTGCCTGCGTACACCACAGCGCTTGTGTACACCACAGTGCCTGCGTACAGCACAGCAGCCGTGTGCAACACTGCACCAGTTTACACCGCAGTGCCTGCGTGGAGTGCCTGCGTGCACCACCGCTCTTGTGTACACCACGGCGCCCGTGTGCACCATAATAACCGCGCACAACAGAACACTTTTGTTTTCTATAGGGTTTGAGGAGGAGGAACTCTTATGACAAAATGGCGCGCCTGTGGAGTCCACGGGAAACAATGTTTGAGATAGACGACTTAGATCGGAATCCTCATGGGACCAGGAGCACCTGCGGAATGTTCGAGTACTCCCGAGTCTCCCCGCATGACACTAATTCCTCCCGCTTGCGCCCAGAAGGCTCCTGCAAAGTTGGCCGTTCGAGAACCCAGTGGACTGATTCAATAAACCATTTTTCCGAGACGCGCACTGAGATGCGTACGTACGTTGTAGCGCCGACCCGAACGACGGTGGGAAGGGTGAGGGAGGAGGAGGAGGAGGACGAGGAAGAGAGGAGGAACAGGGAGGAGGAGCGAAAAACATCGCATTCTTTTATCAGCACTCCCCTCGCGTGGCGTTTAGCTGTCCGCAGCAGATCCTCACCGACATGCTCCTTCTACCTGTCCTGTGCGCGCAGGCACTGCGGTTTACACCAACGCTGTGTTGCACGCGGATGCTGTGGTGTACACAGGCCTTGTGGTGTGCACAAGCGTTGCAGTGCACGCAAGGATTGTGGTGTGCACAGGCGGTGTGTTGCAGACGCTGCCGCGGTGTTTTCATTCGCTGTTGTGTACGCAGGCGCTGCGGTGCACGCAAGCACTGTGGTGTACACTGGCGCTGCGTTTCATACAGCTGTTGCGGTGTACGTAGGCGATGTTGTGTACACGCGCGCTGTGGTGCACGCCAGCACTGGTGCACGCAGGCACTGTGGTGCAGATCGCCACCTACGTGCTGCTCCTACTTGGCCCTGGTCATCCCTACGCATTCCTGGACGCCGCGGGCGCGGAACGTGACGTCACCTCGGGAGGGGGTGTCGGGGCCGGTGACGGCCGCTATCGCGGAAGATAAAAGGCCCAGCGATAAACATCCTTAACAGTTCGACGGACTAGGACAGGGCACTGCTTAGCATCACGACGAACGAATATTGTGAGCAGCCGTTGACAGCCGAGCCTTCACCTTAGCGTCTCGGCCACGGATCCTGCGAGGCATCCCCGCCGTCGCATCAATGACCAGGTTAATCGCGGTATTCTTCCTTAGTCCCAGAAGGGCCCCAAAGTCATCCTGAAGACGCGAATGCACCACCCTGGAGGCCACAACCGCAACTACTTGGTCCATGGATATGTGGGCATGCATCATATCGGCGATGGCAACCCTCAGGAATTCCCTTGCATGCAACATATAAGAAATCATGTGGGAGGTGGTACTCGTCACAATTGAGGATTCTAGTCATGTATTGTAATGTCCAGAGCGGTGTTGGGATCGAGACGAAACGAACCAAACTATTCAAGATCAAACACTTTAACCATGGACGCTGCCATGCTACATCCCGACACCACCTCGAACTCAGCTTAAAGCGCGGGGGCCACACACTCCGCATGAGATCGCGAATCGGGCCGACGGATAGGGCACAAGCACCCGCCGTGCAACGCCAGGTGAAAGATTTGCCTGCTGCCGCGCTGCTCGAACAGCACCAACTGGATCTGAACAGCACGAACGGGATCTGCCCGCAATAGTTCAGCGTATCCCTGAACAGGCCCCCCCAGCGCTGGTGAGAAATCGTGTTGGTTTCAGACTTGACAGCCCGACGCCACGCCGTGTCCGTGGCCGAGCGAAACTTCCCCGCAGCCCAGTAGGGCCAATCGTTGTCGAGCTCCCAGGCCCCAGCCCAGGGCCTTCCACATCGCCCCCGGAGGTGGTGGGGGCAGGAAGTGATTCTTATAGGTCGGAAATCGAACAGTTTGGGGAGCCAGGGCCACGACGAAGGCGCGGAGCTGCTGGGGAAGCAGGGCCGAGGATTCCACTACTAATGAAGTCTGCGCCGTGAACTCAAGGGAGATTTCCGACAAGTATTGGTAGTGCCTCGCATAGAGCGTCCAACTCCACCGCCAAGGGCCTCGAAAAAGATCTGGATATCTTCCCAACGTCGTCGGGGGAGACGAGAGGCAGAGGGTCAGTGCGGACGCATCGGGGGCGACCAGGACTCTTCTGGGCCCTCCACAAGGCCCCAAAGTTGTCCCGCTCAGAACGCAGCAACTCCTCGGGGTCGGACGCCGCGGAACCGAATCTACTCTAGGTGTTTGTGGGCCTCCATCCAAGCCGCAGGGTCCTTGGAAATTTGGCGGGCCCCGCAGGCTCCCTGGTCGATGCTGTCGAAGAACCAAGCCGATGAATACTTGCGAGCTTTGCCAGAGAAAACATAACACACCCGTTCAAGTTCAAGTCGTCTTGGATAGTCTCCCCCAGACCTGAGAGACACAAGCTGGGATCCTGAAGATTGTCGGACCACGCTCGCGTCGACGCGGCAACTTCGTGCTTCGTGGGAAATGGCCGCGCGCTCACCTTGGTTAGCACGGGCGGCAGGCGGCGGACCGCTGAGAGCACTGGCCACAGCAGCGAGAGCTGGGCGCCTCATCCAGCCTGAGGAAATCTTGGAACTTAGAATTCAACCATTTCATACTACGCAGCGCCGGGCATCGAGGGGCGCCGGGGTCGCGCCCCAAGACAGGGCGCCACCGCAAGGCCCGCCCCTTTCCCGCGAGCCCGATGGAATGGGAGAGAGATGGCCATGGCATGTCAAAGTTGCTTCTGCGATGCATTAGCATACTGCTTATACGCCGCAGACAGGGCGTCGTCTAAAATATCGAATCCCCCCCTGGGCCCTAACTATGGCCTTGCCCACCAGAGACTTACACCGACCATGCGACGGGGGCTCAGGCATGGGGCAGAACGGGCATCCACAACGATCGGGGGGGGGCTTGCGGAATGACAACACATGGGGTTGGACAGGCCCCGCAAAGGAATAACCATGACAGGGGCGTGGGGCGCGAAGGTGGACGATCGGGAATCCACCGTCACAGTTTGCACGGCATTCGCGAGGCCGCCCGAGATAATGAAGTAGTCGCGTCTCCGAGGGTCGCCCGTGACGAAGCACGTCGGAGAGCCCGTCTCAAAAGCTGCGCCCGCAGGTTGTGAACAAAATCGCACTTATGCAATGCTTCGGGCTTGATGTTAAAGTCGCCCCACATCATGCAGGGGGGGCCGCGCGCCTACATCCGATCCAATGCGCCCCAGAACGTCTGAGTTGTAGTAGTCTATTCCCAGGGGGTCCTTGAGGCACAGATACATGAGGAGGACGGGCTGGCCCCGAGGAGGGCGCGCAATGCCAGGAACAGCTCGGTGGGGGATAATCGCGACGCCGTCAGGAGGGGCGTGGAACTCTGGCCAGGACATCCTCCGAATAATTACCCCGCAGGAGGGCCACCCCCCCTTCCCCGAGAGACCCAGGAATCCAAAGAGACTTCCAGCCGTTATTTCAGCATCATGGCGAAACCCGATCCAAGGGGCTTCCCGCCTGAAGCTCATGCCCCTGCACGGGCAAAGTATGAACCGCATGTCGAGGCAGCCGGCCCTTTCGCCGACGACCAAGCATTACCATGGATCGACTTAACCTCCAAGGCAAACTGGTCCAAGGGGGGGGTGCCGCAGCGACAGCAAGACCCAAGCGCCCCGTCCGAGGCAACGGGGGCTCGGCAGAAAACCGAAGATCAGCCCTTCACAGGCCGTTGTTGATCATGGCCCAGACAGGAGGCTCCGCGCGGGCACTAGTGGGGGCGAGGGGAACTCTATGAGGAGCTGTGCCTCCTGCCCGATCAGGAGGGCCTTCAAAGGAGTCGGGCTCCCGAAAGACAAACGAGCGGGCCTACCAGGCCATGTGGACTAACGCAATCAAGCTGGCGTCCCCCCCCACTTCCAGCCCCCCAGCGACCCAGCTCGTCACTCGGGAGGGTGCGACGCGCGTGCGTGCGTGCGTGCGTGCGCGCGTGCGTGCGTGTGTGTGTGTGTGTGTGTGTGTGTGTGTGTGTGTGTGTGTGCGTGTGTGTGTGTGTGTGCGTGTGTGTGTGTGTACGGGACTTCACCACCGTACTCCTGTCCAAGGTGTACCTTTTCCTGCACGTCCCGTTCGGCGCCGCCTGATCCCTTGGCTTCGCCCGTCCCTGGTATGTGCATATGTATGTGTATGTGAGTGTGTATGTATGTATGTGTGTGCGTAGGTGTAGGTGCATGTGTATGTGTATGTGATTGCGTATGTGTATGTCGATGTGTAGGTGTAGGTGTATGTGTATGTGTATTTGTATTTGTATGTGTATGTGTATGTGTATGCGTTGCGTGCGTGCGCGCGTGCGCGTGCGTTCGTACGTGGGTGGGCGGCTGGGCAGGGGCGCGCGCGAGGGGGGGTGGGGGGGGGGGCGGGGCGGGGTCGCCTGAGCAGAAATCTTTGCAGCCTCCGCTCAAACACGCGACAGCATCTCGCCTGGGCCCGCGCCGTTGTCGCCTCCCGGGGGCCGCGGCCGGCTCAGACAATTGCGATTGGGGCGCGACGGTCTGATCAGAAGCGGCGGCCACAGGGGCACTTCCCCCGGCAGCGGGGGCGCCTGGTTGACCCGCGAGAGGACCACAAGTTGCTTCACCATTGCGCGTGCGCCTGCGCGTCGCCTCCAGGCGAGCCGTGACAAGGGCGCGGGCCCCGTTGGCCTCTCTAGCATTGGCTGCAGCCTTGGCGAACAATTCCTCGGCCATGTCTGTGAAAGAGAACGCGGGGGCGCCCCGTCGCTTGGTGGTCTCGTTTCGATTTTTGGTGTAAATCTCATTTTTTCCCGTAGCGAGCGACGGGCCAACGTCGATGCTGGAATTGCCAACCTTCCCCAT